TCTGTTTATCTTGCTACTTTTTTTGATAGTAGGTATGTTTCCCTAGACTTGTTTCATCCCATGGAAATTTAAGGAGGAAGAGGAGGAATAGGGAATAAAGGCGAGACAGAGAAGGCTTCAGCTCTAATCTAATACCTGGAGTAAAATCATGTCAGACAAATTACTTTACTATTTGGTTTTCCATCTGTAGAACAAGAACAATGTCTTTGAAAAACACGAAGGAAACAGCCTAACTGCCGATTCACCATCGTTAGGAGTTTTGTTGCTGTTGCATGAAAAGTGGCTGCTGTCTCAATTTATTGTGGGGATGAAATGTTCTATGAAGTTCTCAACCATTCTGTGATGCTACCAAATTTGTATATGGCAAATTAAAATGAATTTAAATATTTTCTGGGCTACAGAGAGAGGTCGTACCATGTTGGTACTTGGGAGAACACAAGTTTTGGTGGTCTTATCAATTACCAATGCACCCAGTCTTCTCCTTGTCTCCTCCCAGTCTGCCTAGGAGGAAGGGATGGAGACCTTACTGGGGTGCCCAGATGTTGGCTGGCCTGCTCTGGTTGAAGTGACTGGCTGTTGACTCAGGTGTGGGTGTGTTGAGGGGAAGGTAGGAATGAGGCTCACCTATTTTCCTTCTCTTTCTGTATCAGAAGACATCAGTTCGGGACTCACAGCTGCTGCACTTGTCACGCTCATTTTTCTTCCTTTTGTGCATTCTTGGTCTCTGTAACCTACTGCTGGGAAACAGAATGTAATCAGTGGACACCTGCACTGCTAAGAAACTCTGCCTCCTGCTCTCCGTAGGGTCAGGAGACGTGGGCATGGGGCCTCAGACAAGTACAGACATCTTCCGCTCAATGTTCTGTCTTTACTGACAGCAAGAATTTCTTGCAATTAGGCTCCTGCAGCAGGTCGTCAACCTGGGGGCAACAGCTGATTGCCTCTATTTAACTTCACTGCTCAACTTGAGCTTCATGTTCAAACCCCAGTGCTTCACTGTTGCTTCCTTTCCTCTCTGTTCTTCTCTTCATGGAGGGGTATAAAGCAGAGACAGTTGTTATTAATAATCTAAATCAACTTTTGCCTTTCTACACCTCACCTTGAGCAAGAAGGTGAACAAAAAGAGATCTTGTAACACTCAACACAGAAAGAGCAAAACCAGCCATAAAAGTCAACTTTTCTGTAAAACTGTGATAGCAGAAAACGCGGTCTCTGAACATTGCAGGTCACTGTTGGGTCAAAAATATCTGCTTACCTGGACTAAGGACTGAGAGCACAGCTGAAGGATCACTGGGAGAGTTTGTTTCCATGAGGTCCACTTGTACATCACAAGTGCTTCAGAAAGATTCCTGGCCTGCTGAGTGTTTGCAGCAGCCTGCTAGAGTAATGACAGGTATCGAAGCATCAGTGGGAGATGTGGTATTAAAAATACTGTTCAGTCCTTGATTTTGATGTGAACTTTCAAAATTTAATTAATAGTTCAACCAGGCTGAAATAAAATGCAGCATTTGCACAGTGAAATCCCAGAGACTGCAATTTTCTTTGCATGGCTTCAAGCCTAGTTTTAATAGCTCGGTGGCAGCTGTTTCATTGCTCCTGCCTCTTAAGAATTTCCTTTGGTTTTTCCAAGGTATCAGGACACTTAGAAAATTTTACTTTGGTTTATGAAGGTTACACTGATGTCCTTTTATATATGATCTCTTAAGTATTCAAATTGGGCCGGTCTGTTTCTGTCTTGCTTTGGTAGGTATTTTTGTACAGCTGAAGTTGAGATATGTGTTAGCAGCTTTTCTTACACTAGCCAAGTGCAAGGTTAATAATTTTCAGGTTTTTTCTTGCGTTCTTTGGAAGCTGTAATTCCAAGAATACAAAAATGGAGCAGCTTGTCCGGTTTCAAATATTTACCACTACTAGAGGATTGTAGATCAATTATAAACACTTCTAGTTTTCTTGTTTCTTTTTGGGGAAAATAAGTCGTTACAACATAATGAAAAATGGGTGATGTTAGACAGTAGACTCCCAGGGATAGGTACTACAGACCTTTTGAGACTGTATACTTAACAAAGCTAAAATGTGGAAGGAATTAAATGCAGAAGGTAGTAGGACCACTGTCCTTTAAAAACAGCAAGTACAAAATCTCATCTTTGAAAACGAGTTTCAATGGCTTATGCTGCAGAGGAAATCAGTGTGGCAACAGGAAAACATTTTCAAAATTACATAGTCTCAGTGTTCAGAAAAGGGAGACTGAAACCAAGAGAAGGGAGCCAGAGAGAATATAAAGGTTTCCAAGTCCAGCTTCTATTTGTTGATTTAATTCCAGTTTGGTTTCTTCCTCTCTGAGCCTAGATAGTTTTTACTTATTTATTCCCCCTTTGCTCAAAAATCTAGAAGGCCATTAGATGTCAAGTCTCTGCACCTGCTGTCAGAGACTCCTCAGGCTACGGGTATTTCTGAAACCTGCATCCCCTCCCTGCTTTCACTGTGAACTACAGCATCATGATCTCATTTTTGCACCGGAAAACCTCACATTTTTAGGATTATTAGCCTTGGGAGAATGTGGTACGTTCTGTCACTGTGCAGTGGGGTCTGGCCTGTGTTTGGAATCTGTATTTTAGTTTCTCACTTTGTAATTCAAAGTCATCTGCAGTTAATAGGCCAGTTACTCTATAGAAAAGATTGTGTTGAAAAACTAAAGAAAGGCCTCAGGATGTATCTTGGAGCATTTACAGTAAATTTTTTGAGTAGAATTAGAAACTGGTTGATGAAAGGCAGCTTCCAAGACTTACAGTTTTGGGTAAGAAAGGAGAGGGCAAATGTGAACAAGATGAGCAAGCAAGCTAAAAAATGCAGGTAATCTTCCATAGTCCAGGTTTTGGACCCACTGATAAAGTCAGCACATCTAACATCAATAAACCAAACACCCTCTAATTACCCATTCATTCCATAACATGACTGACTTAAAGAAAATAACTGTAATTTAAAAAAAACAGTATAGCATTAACACGGAGGTTAATTGCCATCTTCAGCTGCATCGTTGTCTTGGCATGGAATGTTTTTGCCATGTCTCAGCCGCATTCTGGGTTGGGATCTGGAGTTGATTACTTGGTGTAGTGGAGAGTTCAGAAGGACAAGCGTCTGCATCTGCTTTTGGTTTTCTTTCCTTTCGATGCATCTTGGAGCGAGGTTTGTGCTTACCTTTTAGTTTCAGAGGCTGAAAGATTTCACAGAACCATTCTTTTGTTCACCTTATTTATCTATACAATTCATCTACAGAAATGTTCTTTTCATGGGTTTATAGCAAAGGAATGATTATCACCTAATGCTAAGCATATATGTGTATATTTATACATACAAACTTTCTAATTTCTAAATTATCGGGTTTTTTGACACACACAGTACTAAAGAATCTCATTTAAGAGGTGTTTTCTGGATGCTATGGGAATGACACGACTTACGTGGAATCCTAAACCAGTTCCTAGCTTTAGACCCCGGTCCTTTAATATCCATCATATTTCAAAAGCGTCTGCATGTGTGTGTATCTATATAAAGATTCAGAATAGTGTTTATTTCAGAAGTAGCTATTTTCCCATTGCCAGTCACTAGGGTTTTTTTAGAAGTAATATGGAATATGCTGGTTGTTATAGTGTATTTTCTGCTTATGCATTAGTAGATTGAAGTCAGTGTGGCTGGTGCATGCTTTACTTTCAAGAATTACTAGAAGGCTTTTTCTCCACTTTAATGATCTTTCGAAGAAGTGTAACTAGTATTTGGGAGTGCCTGTGACTTTTTTTGTTTCCATGAAAATGTTCTGTTCCTTTCATAGATTGAAATCGTGAGGGAACGTGAGAAGTGGGCGAAACACTAAATTGTGCTATAAATCAAGAAACTCTGTGTGAAATTATGTATTTTCTAATTACCTTGCTTAGATATATATTGAGAAAAAAGCAAACGAGCTATACAAGTTGAAGAAATGTCAGATAAACAAACTGTGACATGTGTAGTATTATTACCATCTGACATCTCAAACACTGATTTTACTCACTCATCCTTCATTCTTTATATCTGCATGTCTAGCGGTGCATGCATTTATGTTTTATATAAAGGGCAGAGTCTGTAGTCAGAGCGTTTGAGTTATGCTGTTAAAAATAAATTAAGGAACAGCAGGTGACAATGATTCCTACACATGAATATTCAAACTGTACCTCAGTCAGATACTGTAGAAAGACTAATAAAGAGCAGTGAGACTTTGGTGGGGCCAAGGCGTTGATATGATCTGAAATAAAAGTTTTATTGGCATGAGGTTGAGATGACTCGGAAAACTTACTCAAGGAGTGCCATGATCTGCTCGTATGCACCATTGCCAAAACATTCAAGAGTTTAAAAAATTGAGGGGGCAGTAGCACTGGGATGTTGGAAGTCTAACAGTCAGGCTCTTAATCTTGATTCTTACACTCCTGCGCTTTAGTCTCTGAGCAGAATGGGTTTAGGGTCGGCAGGAGGCTGTAGGGGCTACGTAGCTAAATTGAAAGCTGAGAGACTTGAGTTCATTCCTACTCTGGCATCCATTTCCTATGTATTTGCATCACTTGAGGCAGGACTCACCAAGGTATTTGGGCACTTCAAGTAGACCATCAACAACAACTACTTTTTTTTTTTTTTTTTTTTTTGAGTAAGAATGAAGAAAGTGTAACTTTCACACTACTTAACTGATGGGAATCATGCCGCCATTGTTGGATTCAGTGAGGTTTCACAGGAATCAGGAGTGTGACCACTGTTGAGGGCCCTATGACAGGGGATTTTCAGTGAAAACTCAGGAGCTAGAATACATTTGTGGAGCTGGCATTAATTTCCCTATCACTTTTACATTGTAAAGACAAGAACATTCAGAACTGTGAAGTACTTAGATACTCTGGCAATATGGAAGGAAGCATATTAACGGATGACTGACTTCTTTTAATGTCAAACTATTTAATTTTTTTTTTTCTTTGCTTGCTTCACAGATCCTGTCCATGGACCGCAAAACGTAGAAGTTGTTGATATTCGCTCCCGGCAGCTGACGTTGCAGTGGGAGCCCTTTGGTTATGTGGTGACCCGCTGCCACAGCTACAATCTCACAGTCCAGTACCAGTATGTATTTAACCAGCAAAAATTCGAGGCAGAGGAACTCATCCAAACTTCTTCCCACTACACCTTGCGAGGTCTTCGGCCCTTCATGACTATCAGGCTGAGGTTAGCCCTTTCTAATCCGGAGGGCAAAATGGAAAGTGAGGAGTTGGTTGTGCAGACTGAGGAAGACGGTAAGTTATGTTGGGTTTGCTTGCTTGCTTGCTTGCTTGTTTTTGGGGGGGAAGATGAATATTTTCAAGTTGTAAATAACAATATAACCCTCTGTCCCATGTGACTTATAAATGGCTTCTCTGGACAGTGTGTGTGTGTGTTATGCAAGTAAAATTTGTTTCTGTAAATAATTTCCATTTCACAGCCATGTTCTTGAAAGGGCAGGGCTCCCTGAAGTGCTTGGAAATAAATGACAAACGCCAGTCTGAGCAGTTACTGAACAGCAGTAGGTTTAATTCTATAGAAGGCATGTTTTGAACTACCCAGGACCCACAGAGCAGCTTCCTTTATCATATGAGCAAATGTAATCCTGGCATTTGTTGATTTTTCTTGTGCCTTCACATCACTGTCCCAAAAAGTAGTATAATGTCTTACTTTCCAGAGTGTAGCTTTTCTTAATGCTGGTATTCTGGACGTAGCATTTTATATATGTCTCGGAAGCTAAATTCATTTGGTGCTAAGTCTTCCGTTCTTGATACAAAAGAACTGTTTTCTGGAAGTACTGATGGAAAGCTTTAAAGTGTTACTATCCTATGTGAGCTATTTCAGACCAAGGACTCTTAAGACTACAAGCCTCCGTTCTGTCTAATGTGTTACAAAAGAAGTGTTCGTCCTCTGCCAGAGCTGTAAGGAGTTGCTGTCCTGAGTTTCCCTCAGCTGAAAGTGGCTCTAGCAGTCCAGTATATCATATGGGGGAACATAAGAGGATGGCAGACCTTTCAGAAGAATGAACAGGGTTTTTATCAGGCAGGCTTGGGAGTGCATTTAGTTAGTTATCTTCCACAGCATTAAAATTTTGCTTGAGTAGGTGGATTTTTTAGCTGGCCTTGTAGCTATAATGAAATATAAATCTTGCATTGTTACTTTACTAAGGAAATCAATCTTTCATATTGATAAAGGTGTGCAGTCCAGTAGCATCTTTATGCCAAGGTGCAATCTGGCTGTTTAGGTGGATAGAGCTTTGCTGTTGTGTTGGATGGAGAAGGACAAATTAAATTCCCTGCTGCTGCTATACTGTACTGGAATAAGGACGTACTGAAATTAGCTTCATATTTTTATGGATTCTGATTTTATTTATCATTTAGTGGTTAGATTAGGGTATTCTTATGTGAACCAAAGGTTGAGAATAGGCCTTTCATACTGATAGTACCTTGGTAATGGTAGTGCCTTGAGGTGGGTTTTTTAATTATTATTTTTATTTTTTTTTATTTTCAGCTCTGAAATTCCTGTCTGGTGGTCTCTTGGTGTCTTCTGATGTGTGTGCAGCTGGAGCTGGTGGTAGCTTCTAACACAGTTTTTTGGATTTTTTTTTTTTTTCCCCCCCCCTGTAGTTCCTGGACCCATTCCCTTGGAATCCATCCAGGGAGGACCTTTTGAAGAGAAGATCTATGTTCAGTGGAAGCCTCCAAATGAGACAAATGGCATCATTACACTCTATGAGGTGAGGAGAACAGATTGTTGTCAAGGAATACATGCCACAGGGCCCTTTTTGTATGTGTTTAAGCCAATCCTGAGCTCTGAGAGATTTCAGCAGGTGCTAAAAGAAGCCTGATTAAAATCGACAAGAATCTTCAAGATAGTCTGCTGCTGTCACTGAAAAAGTTTTCCAGTTCAAGAAAGAGAAAAGATTTCTTTACCAATATTGGTGGCAAAATGAGAGCCATACATTCCCCCATGTCTTGGGTGTTCAATTCCTGCCCTTTTTTTCTTCTGCAGTATCTCCAAGGTCTGTTTTCTTTCCTTTTTTTGTTGAGGTAAACTTCCGTTAGGTTTTACACTTAAATACTGCAACTAATTCCTCTCTGTCTTTCCAATAGTCATAACACTTCCTGGCAATCTCAGCAGAATATAGCCATTAAGTTTTATCTTACCAAGTTCTTACTAAACCTTTCAATGATACATCCATCTAACCCAACCACTTTCCCCACCATCAAACAAAATATACAGCAGGTTATAGGATGGTCACTGACCATCCTGTGCTGGATGAAAAAAAAAAAAATTAAATGTGATTCTGGAGTGTATCAGACGAGATGTTTCTTGTTAAGGTAAGGAAGCGTTACTGTTGTCATGTGCTTCTGGTGAGACTGTATCCATAATGTCACCTACACCCAAAGGAATGTAAAAGGAGGACTGCTTTAGAGGATTGTGTGAAGTGGAAGACAGTCCTACAAGAGAAGGTAAAGGCACTTTTATTAAATAGCGGAAAGCGGTGCACCAGCGTTCGCTGAGCGTGTTTCAGTTTATAGGTTCAGCATTTACCACGGTAAGATTAGAAAAAGTGAAAAAAAATTTTGCTTTTATGGTGATGTGAAAATCCTCACTGTGGGCTTGTGCAGCGTTTTCTGATACAGAGGGGAAGAACCACTTTTTTACTTTCCCTTTTATGTTGGGAGAATGTACAAATTTATTTTGGAAAAGGAATGGGTGCAAGAAGCAACTCTGCCATTGTCAGTGAGGTTCTGCTCCTTTCCTCTTCCCGTCCAGCTTCTCAGTTTGGAACAGCATGTCTTACAACATGGCACTCCTACATCTCCTTGCTAACACTAGCTGTCTCTAACATACTGATGGTCAAATGGAAAAAATCAAGCAGGTTTAACACCGGGGAGCTCTTACACTACAGCATGAGCAAGAGACAGCAACTTTCTCCTGGGCTTGAATGTAACTGCATTTTTTGGTCATCTCTCCAGCTGGCTCACAAAGGGTAGGCTGAATTTGATACGGCAAGACTAAATAAATGAAGTTCCTCTTGCTAATTTTGTGTCATTTCAGCCAGGCAATAATCCTTGACTGCTTAAGTCAAGGGGTCATTTTCTGTTGGTCGCTGTTGAGACACTTGTGGAAATCTTGGCAGGTTCATACCACCTGTCTGTACTAGAATAGCACTAACCCTTGCAATTTCATGGTTTTTGAAGGTGTACTACAGGCTATCCTGTGCCTCTGTAAGGAACTATGCAATAAAGCTGTCTATTTTTAAGGAATTGATCTGAATAGAATCAGTTGCAAATTCATTATTTTTTTAGCAACACAGGTGACCTATAATGGAACACATTTAAAATAATCCAAGTCAAATGATGGAAAAATAACTCCTTTTAATTTTTAAAGAGGGAGTTCCCTACTGAAATATTGCCTTGGGCTCAGCTCATTGAAAGGACTTCAGCAATCCGAGTAGCTTTTCTGCCTGAGCAGCTGCATAGAGATACTTTAATGCCTCCAGGGTAGTGATACATCATGGCAGTGCCTTTTCCCCTCAAGTCATATCATTGCTTGAGTCTCAGTGGAGGCACAAACAAATTTTTCTTTTCTGATAATGACTCTATGCATATTTGGCAGCTGAAGCCAAAGAGAAGTCAAGGTGAATTTCAAACTCTTCCTCCTTTTCCTCCTCCCCATCTCCAAAAGGATGAAAATCCCAGTGTTAAAAACACCAGCAGAACCAGAGTGCCTGAAGGTTGTCATGAATGGAAATGTTTTCCTTTCCTCTCCCTTCTTACATGTGAAAATTCATACAGAACATTCCCATTCTCCATGGCACCCTGCGACAAGTTCATTAGCTGGAGATAAAAATGCAGGTGAGCAGTTAACCATAACCTGGAGAGATGGCCAGAGCATGCTCAGGGTAGTTGTCAGGCTGTTGAAATCTGTATCTCAAGCAAATATGAGCGCAAGTAACGGGAGATCCTGGTTTTTAAATTGCGCCGTAAATAGAGTACAGGTACGTGCACAGAAACATCTCATCCTGCTACGTGCAATTGAAGTTTAATCTTCCTAAAAATACTGAGAAACATCCAATTTGTCCACGTAGTTGCATCTTTTGTATTGCTTGCTTAATCCCTAGCCTACTATAGATAGTAGGCTATCTACACCTTTGTCTCTACTAATATTATTTCAAGATTTCACGCCATGTGTCTAGCACCAAAGTAATTCCTCAGTAGTAATGACCACCAAAGAGTTATTTCAGACAGGGTTCAGCCATATTTCAGTATCATCATGGCCTTACAGTGCTTTAATAGAGTTCAGCAGACCTATTGGTTAAAGAGGGAAAAAAAAAGCTAGTGATTAGTCTCTGATAGGTTTTCAGTTCTTTCCCGTGGCCTACAGTACCGATCCAGGTAGAAGCAGAAGGCTCTAACGACAACAGAAGAGAAAAGGTCAAACTATGAACTTGTGCAGCGCTACTCTAATGAGGTCTCTGTAGGGAGCACAGTTCCTGAAGCCCAGCTTGTCACCAGGAGGAGCCGGGCAGCTCAGTGATGTGCTGGCAAATTTACAGCTATCTAGGAACGCTGCACTTGTGTTGCTGTCATTAGGGAGAAACAAACCCAAGAACGTACCAACATTTATTAAAAAAAATTCCCTGCAAAGTACAGATCAAGAAATATCACTTTATGAGTTTGAGCTAGTGCTGTCAAGTTCTGCATTACACCTGGAAGTACCTGGCTAGATTCACATGTAGGTATCGTGCAAGTGACGGTCTCCCAAACTGCCTTGGGCACAAACCCTTCTAATAAAACCAAATAAAAACCCCTCTTCCTCCTCCTAAGTAATAGTTCCCTCCTTGCCATCACCTTCAAGATCTGATTCATTGTATCTCGAGACTGTATTTTCTCTCTAGTTCTGTTAAAAAATTTGTTTGTAAGCTTCTAAAATGCTTCCAAATAAACACACTGTCTATTCTACTTACGTCCCACTTGCTTTTCCTTGGGACAGGTTTTCTTCTCAGATCCCTAATCATTCGTGCAGTTCCCTGCCAGGCAGACTTCCATATCGCACAAATTGCCGTTGCAGTTCGCACGTGCACTGCTTACATGCCAACTGAGCTGAAATTCAGCAGCGCAACCATCAGCAAGTCATTTGGCAGCCAGAATCACTAATTTTGTAATGACTGAATACTTCTAAAGAGCCTAAACAAAATGGAAGGACCTTAATGAACCTTTTTGACTTATGGAAGTCTCTTCTGATTGATATTTATCCTTCAAAATGCTATTGTAGTCTTTTAATAAAGGCAGCAATAGCCTTGCATTTAAAGCTGGTTTAAGAACCCCCTGCGTTTAGTTGGAGAATTAATTGTTTCACTGGGTACAGCCACAGCTGGATTTTTGAACAAAGGAACCTTCTAGATCCCCAAATCGGTATGTAATTGCAGTCTGTTTCTAGGGAGCAGAAACCTCTTGTTCAAGGCAACTTGGAAAGCTCCGGGAATTGCAAGTCAGTTAATAAGTATGCTGAAAAGATTAGGATATGAGCCGTGTAGAAAGCAAGTGATGGTAGAGTTCATTCTGGGGATGTTAGGGGAGCGCAGCAAAGCAGTTAGTAATACGAGCGTATGCCGAGTTAGTAGGTGTCAGTTGATCTGTCCAGTCAAGTAAGCCAGTAGGGAGATGCACAGGCTGCTGTTGCAAGTAAGCCCTGCAACGGAGATAAAGCTTAAGAGCTCTAGCTATAGTCAAGTCCCCAGGTAGCTTCAAGGTGTGTAGGTACTTACATGAGACAAGTAGATCAATCTGTGTTCAGAAACACAGCTAAACAGCGATAATGGATTTTGCTGGTACATTGGTTTGGGTAGAATGCTCTACAGAGATGTTTTTGCATGACATTCATGAAAGAGGCGTTATTACAGCTGTCTCTCATAGCGAGCTGAGTGGCAGAAGCTAATAATATTGTAATAAGTCCTGTCCTCCCTTCAGTCTCCTGGCAGACTGAAAGCACCACAACTTGTTGCTTTTTTTTTCTTACCAGTCCTGAAAAGCTGCTATGCTTTAAAATCCCTAATAATCAAATGGTGCTTATTATGCTTATACCATGTGGGAGTTCAGCTTCAAGGCCTTTGTGTACAAAGACATGCAACAAAGATTTTTTTTTTAATCCTAAGTGTGTGTAAAGTCAAACCACTGTCAAACAGCAGAAGGACCTATGCTGTCATTGGACTGCAGGAACAAGCAATCTAGTTTAAGGTCATGGACCAGCTTTGGCACTTAAATTCTCCTGCTTTTAGATGACATGAGGCTGTGTGAAGTGTTTGTTCCATAACCCAAATTGAAGTGCTTCAGATACATGGGTGGACCCAGATATTTTGTCCAAACTTGCATTTAATCTTGAAAATGTAAACAAACAAAATTTATTTATATCTGCACTTTACTGTTCATTTGGGCAGCTGGAAGCTTATGGGTGCACTCAGTAAGTGATGCTGGCTTTCGCCTTTGTAGATACATTTTTCGTGTGTAATCTATTTCTCAGGATTGTCAGTTTTTAGAATATTTTGCCCTTAAAGAGGAAGAAGAAAAAAAAACAAAACCATTTAGCATTCCTGTCTAAAATATTTGTCACGTTACTTGGGGGAAGGCACTGTTATAAGGTATTATAATCCTAGAAGCATTTAAAGGGTGGCTACGGTATATTCAGCTCCTTGGCTGGAAAAATGACTGTCAGACTGTTGAAGTCCTT